CACAAAATGATTGATCCAGGCAGTGATAGCACACACCTTTAATCCCAGTACTTGGGAGGCAGAAACAAGCGGTCTCCACAAGTTCAAGGCCAGTCTGGTCTACAAAGAGAGTTCCAGAACAGGCTCCAAAGCTGCAGAGAAACCCTGCCTTGAAAAGCCAAAACAAACAAACAATATGATTGAGCATAATGAAAAGTTAGCAATTGCCTAGAACTCCATTAGCAAGGAAGAGGTTCATCTGTACAAGTCTGTACTCTAGGGAGTCTTAAAGGGCTAAGTAATCCATGTGTGTTCGCATGAATGTATTTCAGTATGAAATTACATGCATGTAAATATTAGTGCATACGAAGGAGCCTGAAACGTGTAAGGTTAGCAACGGGTACTGTTTCAGCTACTATAGCTGTAGAACAAACCACCCTCATTGTATGAAGCAACGACGGCTTATTTTTTCCAAACCCATGGGTTGGTGAGGGAACTCCGAAGAGCTCACAGACACTGCTGCCAGTGGATTGCATGGGTCTCCACGTGGCCCTTCCTCATGCAGAGGTGAGACCAGCATCTCTGGGACCCCGGACAGTATTCCAAGACCATGAATACAGAGGCATCAGGATGTGTGAAGTTCCAGGCGTCTGGTCTAGATTCCGGTCTTCACCCACATCATAGCTGATCCATTCTCCTGGTCAGTCGCATCACAAAAGGGCATTCGTATTGGGATGGGAAGACTCTGTTGCCATCAGCTTGATCTGCCGGCCCTTCAGTTTGATACTTTTTTTTTAAGAGAACAAAGGAAAAAAAGGTGTAAACACTCACCAAATTCCCATCATACAAGAAATCGATATGGGGCTATCAGATTGACCCAGCACATAAAGGAAGTTGCCTCCAAGCTGGGCGCCCTGAGTTTGTTTGCTCCCTGGGACCCAGGTGGTAGAAGGAGAGAACTGGCTCCTCCCAGTTCTATAAGTCGCCCTCTGACCTTCACATATCAGTGTTATAGATGTGCACATGCATACACAAGAAATAAATAAAATGTTATGATTTTTTTCAAAGAAAGTGATATAGGGTGTTCCTCCTTTGGAGCCCCTCTCACTCTTGGGGATTCCTTCTCAGTTCTCTTTAATTGATCTACATTTGCTCTTTAAAAGAGAGGGGGGAGGGAGAACATAAGCAGCCCCCAAGGCAACTGTACAATAGGGATGGGTGTGTATGTGTATATATTTGCAAGTTCCAAGTCAATCTGGGCTGTAAAGTGAGATTCTGCCTCAAAAGAAGAAGAAGAAGAAGAGGAAGAGGAAGAGGAAGAGGAAGAGGAAGAGGAAGAGGAAGAAGAAGAAGAAGAAGAAGAAGAAGAAGAAGAAGAAGAAGAAGAAGAAGAAGGAGGAGGAGGAGGAGGGAAGGGAAAAAGGAAGGAAGAGAAGAATGTCAAAACTGCAGTCTCACTCATAAAGTAGAATGATCCGCCTTGTTAAGGTCTTTGTTTTAAAAACTGATTTTACATTTTGTATGCTATTCCCGCAGAGACGATCTGTTCTATCCGCATGAATGATCCAACAAAGCCCCAGGCTTGGGAGAAGCAGATAGGCTGAAAACAAAATCCCTGCTCTCAAAGCAGCAAGTTGAAGAGGCATGGATATAACTCACTGGTGGGGCACTCACTTGGGACGCTGGAGGCCATGGGCTTTGTTACTGGTATCACACCACCAACAGAAAGGGCAGGTTTGAGACTTCTTGACAGTAGCCAGCAAGTTCTGACCGCTACTCTGTGGAGACCGCGGCAGCAAGAGTTCCTCGGACACCAGAGCAAGAGACAGAAGAGTATGGCAGTTGGGGGACGGAGATGGAGAAGTCACGAGGGCGCCAATCCCCTGGGAAGAGGGGTGGCAGATGCATGAAAGGGCATGGAAGGGAGGACGCCGAAAGAGCATCCTTCCCCACTATGTCACTCAGCTCTCCATTTCTGTAACACCCAGCTGCAATCCCTTATGAAGAGAAATGATTCATATGGGTCACGGTTTTGGAGGTGGAAGTCTGTCATTTTCAGGCCTGTGTCCAAGCAGGCCATCATGACCAAGTATTATGGAGTTAAAATCATCAACTCAGAGCAGAGATAGGAGAGGAGAGTGGGGTCTGGAAAATTCCCTTTGAACATACACCACAATGACCTAAAGATCTTCCAGAAGGTCCTCCTCCCCCAAGACCCACAGTCCCCAGTGGCACCATGCTGGGTAGCAAGCCTTTACCTCAAAGGCCTTTTGGGGCCACTCAGATCAAACTGTTTACACTTCCTTCCCATGAGGGAAGTTTAATTAGCAGAATTTCTGGAACTTTCCACCTCATTGCTCCTTGCTCCTTGCTCCTCTAGTGGATATGGCGGAGTAACAGGGGCTTCCTCACTCTTGATTGGGACAAATACCTGAGCAGCCTTGGCTCAGAGCTACACCTTGCCTCCCTTGGGCATGAGCCCACCTGCTCAGATCTGCTCTCCTCTTTCAGGTCCGTTGTCAGTGATCCGTGGGACTATGTGGGTGAGGCCACCTAACATCTGGGGTTCAGTAGCAGCAGGCTCGGTGGCTGAATACCTATGGTCACATCCTGCTGTCTGGCCCTTATCAATAATAGAACTGCTACTCCATCGTCTGTGCCAGCTTCTTCTCATGATCATCCTTTCTTGGTTGAAAAACCCAAGAAGGAAGTGAGCAAGCTCTTTTTTGAGAACCCTCTAGAAGCCTGTAATACAATGGCTATTTATAGCTGTTTGATCAGCCAGTGAGCCCACTTAGTGACTTCAAGTGATAAATATTCAAGATCTTGTTTTCCTGCAGAGCGGCGTACCAGGTTTGTAGGTTCTGAGTCTCTTGAGAAAGGCTGTCAGGGAGCATCCACAGAGGTGGTGCATGAGGGCCAGGGTTACCCCCAAAGAGTTCTCAAGCTACAGGGATGGCTAGAGGCATTGGAAGCTCAGTCGGACCGGACTGCTGACTTCACACCTTTCTTTTGGCAAAGCCCTTAGCTCTGCACCATGTGAGTTGCTCCACAGAATCACCTCAGTGTCCCCTTGACGCTGCATTGTCTTCCCTTGAGTCCTGATCCACGTGACAAAGAGAAGGAGGAAAGCAGAGCACCTTGGATGGTCTAGTTTCAAAAGCTGAATATGGACCCTTGTAGGTTTTGTTTGTTTTTTAAGATTTATTTATTTTTATTTATTATTTATTTATATTTTATTTATTTTTAAGATTTATTAATTTATTCATTTAGTATGTATACAGTGTTCTGTCGGTATGGCTATGGCATGTTCTGCATGCCAGAAGAGGGCACCAGATCTCATTACGGATATGTATGTTGTGTATGTATGGAGCCATCATACAGTTGCTGGGAATTGAACTCAGGTCCTCTGGAAGAGCAGCCAGTGCTCTTAACCTCTGAGCCATCTCTCCAGCCTGGAGGCTTGTGTTCTATTTGTTAGGTTCATAGCTAAACTTAGACCAGGTGGTAAAGTAGACATGCCTTTGTCTTTGTTGACAGGAAAAAAAAAAAAATAGAGCTGTCAACAAAGAAAAGGTGACTGGGCTATCACAGGAGATGGGGGAAGAGGAGGCATCATATTGCAAATTCCCCAACTGTTAGACTTCTTCGTGCTGGACCTGACAAACAAAGGCAAATAACTGAGCCAGGATGGAGCTCAGTGGGAGAGTTCTTACTTAGCACAGGTGAGGTCCTGTGTTTAATCCCAACACTGCCAAAGAAAGGGAAGACGGAGGAGGAGGGATCCAGAAGGGAGAAGGGAAGAGGGGAGGGAAAGAGGAAGCGACGGACAGGTGGGGTTGAGACACCGCAATGTTCTTTTTCCTCAGGGTGAGTTTGAAGGACACAAATCCTCAGGTCCTCACTTTGGAGCGGCCCCTCCTCTAGCCACACCCCTCCTCACAGCCTCAAAGGACGTTATTACTCGGTGCCCTTGACATTCCCTCCCGACTGTCCTCTAAGCCCCCGCATTCTCCACCCAAGAGGCCTGACCCTGCTTCTCCTACCAGTACAAAGCTTGTCTGAAGATTCCTCTGTACTAATAGGCAGTGTTTGACTTAGCAAGCCTCAGTGGGGTGTCTGAACATGGAGTGGGCACACAGCAATAGAATGGAAAAGAGGCTTTGCTTCATGCGACAGAGGGTCCAGGACCAGATTTTCACAGCACATATGAAGGCCTCCTCCTCTTCCTGCCCTCATGGATAATCCAGCCAGTCCATCTCTACCTGTGCACTGTGGCTCTGGCCCCCTCAGTGTGCACTTTCTCCAGTGCCACCCCTCAACAGGCCCGCATAGTGCTACTTCTGAGCCCAGGTCTCCCTCTAGTGGTCATCCTAGGGACAACAGGCAGGCTCCTCGCTCCTCAGCAGACTGGACAACCTTTCTGGAATCCACTTACCTGCTATCCTTTGCTTAGGACCCTGAGAAACAAATGTCAAGCCTCCCAAGTTCTCCCTTTCTCCATAGGTCTTCAAGGAAGAAAATCCAGCCAAGGCCCTATACCCTGGTCAATACTGTGACAGGAAAGGAAGACACAGCTATGAACATGGCTCAAACACTGACCTCTCAAATATTTACATTTCCAACACCAGTCAGAGTTAGCACCCTCCACACATGTTCACACACATACACACACTTTAATGCTATATACACACATGCAACTATCTACCGTGTCTGCCACCAGAGCCTCTAGTGAGAACCATGCTCCCCGGCCTCTGAGTCACCCTCCTGTAAACCCCAGGAGTCTGTGTCTGGGGCCTGGGAGGCCTGCAGTCCATTTCCTGAGCTAAATGCCAGACTGGAATTGCCTATTATTATAATATCTCTCATTTCTCTCAGATTCATTAGGTCTGAACCTTGTACCCCAAGACAGGAAATCCCGTTGTCCCCACGTGAAACCAGTCAGACATAATTAGCAGGGTAAGGAAGAAGCCCCAAACTCCACTTGCATGGTAAAGAACACACGGCTGAGAGGAAGAAGCGGTAAATGTGGGCTGGCTCGGTAGCTCCTGGCCACTTTCCTTGGTTTCACATCTCTGAGACAGAACAATGGAAGGAAAGAAGGCTTTATGTTGGCTCACGGTTCAAGGCTGTCGTCCGTCCGTCGTGGTGGGGAAGTCTCAGCAGCAGGAGCATGAGCAGGCTAGTCACACTGCATCTGCGGTCAGAAAGCACAGAACAAAGATGGCTGGTGAGGGAGATGGGAACACTCAGGGTTCTGCTCACCGGCTTGGTACTATCTCCCTCCTCTGCATGAATTGGGAGGGGACCAGGGCTCAAGTACTGTGCAGAAGGTTAAATCCCAAGTGCCTGTGTTGTGGGATACTTGTCCACACTGACAATCCAAGACTGTTAATAAAGTTAAACCTTGAATCAAGGGATGGAGCTCATGACTAGCTGACCAGAATTGGCCACTGACATTTTGGAGGGTCAGATAGAGAAGTACAGGAAAAAATAAGGAGGGGCTTAGGGAGATTTGGAGGTCTTTTCTACATGGGAAGGTGGAGAAAGAGTCAGCCCATGGTTTCTCCCCTGCTTTCTTGATCTATCAGGTGTGCATCCCAATACCTGACTCCCGAGATTTGGGAATTTTTGTTTGTTTGTTCGTTTTTTGGTTTTTTGAAACAGGGTTTCCCTGTGTAGCCCTGGCTGTACTGGAATTCACTCTGTAGACGAGGTTGGCCTCTAACTCACAGAGATCCACCTGCCTCTGCCTCCTGAGAGCTGGGATTAAGGGCGTGTACCACCCCTGCCCAGTCTGAGTTTTTATTGATCAAAGAATAACTTAGATAAACACATAAACTGGTGTCCAGTGTGGGGCATTAGGTCATACCACCAAGATGGTGAAACCGTCAGCTCTCTGCTGCCGTCATAGCTGGGTCTTTTCCTATTACGGTTCCAACAGCAGCCTCTGGCCATCACCTGCCCCCAGACCCAAACAAATGCTGCTGGGGTCAGCTGCCCAGCACCAGCTGGCTCTGTCATGCAGGCTTCCCTGTGCTCTCCCATGCTGCGTGCCCTCAGCCTCACTGTGCCTGAGTGGGTGCCTCAGACCAGCCATGCATCACCTGCATGACAGCCAGCCCCACACCCCCAATCCACTCCCCAGCCAAGTGCTGCCATTGTGGCTGTCCCTGCGCAGCTCCGTCTAGGCTGACCTGGTGACCTGGGAGTTCTTAAGGGGAAATTAGGTTTTACTAAAAAGAAACTCTTTCCCACATTAAGAATGGGGAACAATATTACAGTGCAGGAAGTTAGGACCCTGTTTGATTCCGCAATGGATGGTTTGAAAATGAAAAAGTTAAATGAAGGGATAACCAGTTTAGCTGGGATATAATGTTGATTATAATTATTATCAGTTTCGTAATTCATATTTTGTCCCTACAAAAGTGGTTTGATAATGGTGCCAAATATGAAAAACTGACTGATAAGATACAAACTTTATAAAGACCTACTAATGAAACCAAACAAATATTCACACACAGAGAAATTTAGAGCAGAACCTACCATAACATTGCTTGGTGAACCTGAAGAGGAACAGCCCAAGGTTATTAGAAAACCAACCTTAGTGTATCCAGTTACCATATAAAAATGACCACAGTTCTGTGAGTTCAAGGCCAGTGTGGTCTACAGAGCAAGTTCCAGGACACCAATGCTACACAGAGAAACCCTGTCTCAAAAAAGAAAGAAAGAAAGAAAGAAAGAAAGAAAGAAAGAAAGAAAGAAAAGAAAAGGAAAGAAAAAAGACCAACAGATGATGGGCACCCCAAAGCTATGTTGAAATTAAGTTAACTGGAATACTGTAGAAGTTTTAAATTTGAGGATGAGGAATCAGTTGTTTCAGATGCATTCACCCTATGTGAAACAGATGTTAATTTCATGGGCAACTTGGAACAGAATTATCCATAGGACTGGAAAGATTTAGCTACAGCAATATTGGAAGCTGGTCCTCAGTTACAATGGAAAACGTGGTAAGAAGAAAACACTTGGATTATAAAACAACAAAATAGGGCTAGAGGTATTGATATTTCCTAAGATCAACTTCTCAGTGAAGGCCAGTCTGCTAATTTGCAAAGACAGTTTGGATTTGATGATCACACCTTGGCTCTATGTCATGTAACAGCTTTGAACACTTGGGACAAGGTTAAAAAAATTAGGAAAGAAGACTGAGTCATTTGCTAAAATTATACAAGCCCTAAAAGAAGCCTTCACTGATTTTTTTTTTGCAAAGATTGACTTCAGCTGTAAATAGAATAATATCAGATCCAGGAGTCAGACAAATATTAATTAAACCTTTGGCTTGATTAGGCCTTTAAAGGCAAGATCAGCACCCATAGATGAACGGATCCAAAATACAGCCGAGATTGGATCTCACGTTTATGATGATACTTTGATAGGAGAAGTGATTCCTAAACATTTTAATAAAAATGAGAAGGTCAGATGTTTTAATTGTGGCAAAACAAACAAGGTCATCTGAAAAGGGACCGTAGGCAGGCGTTCCTAGAAACAGTGTTTATTCTATTGTAGAAGGTGTGGCAAAGGCTGGCATTGAATTAATAAATACAGATCAACAAGGGACAGGCAAGGTAACCCTTTGCCATTGGGAAATGAGTTAGGGGACCTCTTGTAGGTCCCAGTGTCAAATTTGGTTCAATCATTCCCTGTCATCATTGGAGAAACTCATCCCCAAAGCAATTGAAAGATTTAATGTGTGTTGTTAAAAACCACACTGCTCTGGATGACAGAATAGCTTCATTAGATTAAAAAAAAAAATTCCACAGAAAAAAGTATTTTGAAAACTTCTATAAATGATCAAAACCCAAAGCTACAAATACAAATACGTAGCCTTGTAATTGAAGGTTTGGTTGACACTAACACAGACGTAACTAATTTCACCCCAAATTCAGCATCCAGATTAGCCTCTTCGGGAGGTAAATACTCAGCTTCTAGGGACCGGAACTCTATCTCAGGTAAAACAAAGTACAAGGTGGGGCGAATGTACAGGGTTAAAAGGACAAACAGGAAAGTTAAAGCTATATGACTAAGCAATAAATTTATGGGGATATGATTTGTTACTGTACCGTCCATGCTACGACGTGTACTACGGTCCTGTAGCGCCTGTACTACGTGTACTACGGTACGACGCCTGTAGTTTATCACTGCCTGCACTAAGGGCAAGGGGTTGGAGACTGACACAGACAAATACAGAGAGAGACAGAGACACGGGTCATCCTTGAATTCCCCAAGAAAGCCGCCTTTATTGTGCTCAGGGGCAGCTTATATAGGGCTCTGGCCACGTCCCAGATCTCGCGATCTTTCAGCTGCAGACTCATCAGAACCCACTCCCCTGCCATCAGGGTCTCTGCTCAGAGCAGCTGCAGGCTGCTCACAGCAGAGGAAAACAAGTTGTTTACAGGAAATTCAGGGTCTGGTGCTCTGCAGTCCCCAACATGTTACAGCAACAAAAAAATACAGATTAATGTTCCTTCAATCTCAGAAACAAACCATAAAATTAAAAAAAAATGCTTTTGAGAGAAATATTAAAAGGTATTATCAAATTCAGTCACTGACCATTCAGGTCGCACATAAGCAAGGCACAACAGCTGTTGATCTACCAAAGATAGCCACAGTCCTACATTAAAAATGGTTAACTAGCCGGGTGGTGGTGGTGCACACCTTCAATCCCAGCACTCGGGAGGCAGAGGCAGGCAGATCTCTATGAGTTCGAGGCCAGCCTGGTCTATAAGAGCTAGTTCCAGGACAGGCACCAAAGCTACAGGGAAACCCTGTCTTGAAAAAAAATTAAAAAAATGATTAACTGACAAAACTGTCTGGGTGGAACAGTGGCCTTTGACATCATAATAATTACAGACCTTAGAACAGCCATTACAGGAGCAGCTAAATACTCAACATATTGAAGAATCAACCAGTCCTTGGAATTCTGCATTCATCATTTAAAAAAAAATCTGAAAAATGGATAATGGTAACAGATTTGAGAGCTGTGAATAAGGTGATCTAGCCAATGGGCTCTTTACAGCCTGGAATTCCCTTGCCTTCTTTATTACCTACATGATGGTCTATTATAGTGATTGATTTAAAAGGCTGCTTTTTTACTATACCTTTACAAGAACAGGATAGAGAAAAATTTGCCTTCACAGTGTCTACTTACAATCATTCCCAGCCTGTTCAAAGGTATCTGTAAAAAATTCTTCCACAAGGGATGTTAAACATCCCCACCTTGTGTCAATATTTTGTACAACAACCATTAAAAATAATTCACTCAATCTATAATTTACTCATATATGGATGATATCTTACTAGCTGATTCAGACACAGATACCTCAGGAAAAAAAAATGTTTGATGAAGTAAAGGAAATTTTTGCCTTGTTGGGCAAATTGTTTCTAAAACTATTGCTCCCAAAAATATGCAAAGATGTTGGGAGACCCCACTCCCCCGGGGTTCAGCACAATATGGAGGACTCTCAACCCTGCCACACTGGGGTTTCCTGCTCTCTACCTAGGTTTATCTCAAAGATGTCTCTAGGCCCAGATGCCTGACTTATCTCAGGGATGACCCTTGCCACAGTTCCCTGCAAACGCTCTCTCCCTGATGCCCATGGGGTAATTAACTAACATGATCTAGCTCTTTTCTTTTCTTTTCTCTTCTTTTCTTTTCTTTTCTTTTCTTTTTTGAGACAGGGTTTCTCTGTGCAACAGTCCTAGCTGTCCTGAAACTAGTTCTTGTAGATCAGGCTGGCCTCAAACTCACAGATCCACCTCCTCTACCTCCCGAGTGCTGGATTAAAGGTATGTGCCACCACCGCCCAGAAGTTCTAGCTATTCTCATAGGACCATACTGTCACTAATCCAACTATATGATAGGAATTGTCACCTAATATCAGTTAGGGTTTTGCCCCAGCTACCACCCCAATCCTATACTCTGGAATAAAGCTGGCTGACTCACTGAAGTTGTCCCCTGGAGAGCTATCTCCACTGTGTGCACAAGCCATCCAAGACTCTATGTACTCACTTCTGTCCCTTCATCATTGTGGACTGGTAACCAATGGACTGAGAGGAAATGGAAGCCCACACAAAGAGAAAATTCTATTAACTACCTGTGATATAAAATGGGTTTACAGGAACTTCAGCCACAGAAAG